AGGATGGGGTTGTGCTCAAAAAGGAGGGGGGGCCGTGCCACGTATGTATAGAGGCCTCGTATGTACATGTATATGTCTACTGATGGCCCGAGGCGGTCGGGCCCCCTTTCTCGTTTGCCATCTTACCAAGGTACTGTGATTTCGGTTGAGGGCCCAGGTTTTCAATTTGAGCCGGCAGGGGCTTTCTTTGTTGGCAGCATCGGAAGAGTCGGGACGGTAAGCCAGCCGCTGTCAATGGGTTCGTGCTCTTCAGACGATGAAACAGTTTTCTTGGCCTTGCATGTCTGCATAGCACGACTTGACCGTCTCATGGGATACAAATGGTTGAACTTTGTTCATGCCTACCATTGTTCATGCCTACCACTGGTACCAATGACAGCGAGGTGGGGAACGGGCCTCGTCTTATCATCACGTGACTATGCGTCTCATCTGCGCCATGTTCGATCCTGATCTCGCGTCTCAAGCGCGATCTCCACAATTCCCTAAGCTCACAACCCAAGGCGTCACCATTCGCGTCGCTGGGTACCGCCAAAGGACCCCTCACCCATCGATCTCCCGAATGTAACTCCTCTATATGATACATCTGCGTACTCTGCAATCATGACCGGGGAGGTGATCAGCCTCCTTTCGAGCTCCTCCCCCGAGCCAGCCCTCCCACCTGCACCAGCCGCCGCCCCCCACCCCGCCAAATCATGCTCTCCTCCGCCCAAGCAGCCGTCCGGCCTCCTCAACCTCACCAGCAGCTCGCCCGTCTCTGCCCCGAACCGCGATAGGCCTTCAGGGTCCCAGCAGCTCCCGCATCCGAAGCGCCGCAGCAGCGCCGTCCAGCTGGACCTCCACTTTCTTTCCGACGACTTCGACACGACGGGCGACCTGGGGCACAGCAGCCAGATTAGGCAAGATGCGGGACAGAACAAGCGGCTACGTCTGTCGCCGCCTGACGCTGCAAAGAGGGGGTTTCACAGGTCACAGTCCGCGGCCGACGCCACGGAGAGGTCGTCTGCTCGGCAGGGGGCCGCTGTGCGGCGCACACAGGCGCTGTTCGATCCCATCGAGTGCTCGAGCTCGCCGGCGCTCGGCAGGAGGCCGAGGAGCTCTGGCCAGACGACATACGACGATCCCTTTGCGACCTCGTCGCCTGTGAGAACGGTGGGTGGGATCATGGCCATGGCCGAGCCTCGTGCGGCTTCACCTCGGCAACCTGAAATGGCTGCTGTGCCTGCGAGTTTGGGGATGGATGTCGATGATCCGTTCGCCAGCAGCCCGCCTCCTGCCGCGAAGGCGGCGCCTGCGGCTGCTCCGGCTGGTTCGTTGCAGGTGGCGTCCACGGCGAAATCGACATGCGCATCGATGGTGACGTCCAAGACCTCCATGGCGGTCTTCAGTCTCGACGACGACCTCAGCGACCCGTTTGCCAGCTCGCAGCCTGATGCGGCCCCGCTCCGGGCAGCGACGTCTACGGCTGTGTCACTGAACAGCAAGCCCCGTTCCCCGAAAGGCAAGGCAGACTGGGACCCCATCTCAAGCTCGGCGCCGCAGCTGCTGCACGACTCGTTCGACAGTTCGCCACCGCCTGTGCGTTCCAAAGGCAAGGAGAAGGCGCCCGCGGTCATTGACCTCAGCGATTCCGAGCTGTCCGTACTGGAAAGCCACAAATGGTCAGACAGCGACAGCGATCTCCCGGACGTCAAGGACATGGACCTCTCCAAGTCTCGAGCGCCTCGTTCTCACACAGCGGCACGGTCGCGCACATCATCCGCCACGCTGAGAGTTTCGAAACCAAAAGCGCCGGTCGCCAAGAAACCCACCGAAAACAAGGCGCGAGACAAGGAGGCCAAGGCTGCCGAGCGCGAGCGCGAGAAAGAGCGCAAGAAGCGGGAAAAAGAAGCGGCGAAGGAGCAAAAGGCGCGCGACAAGGAGACGGCGGCCGCCATGGCCGAAGTCAACAAGGTGAGGACCGACAAGAAGGTCTCAACGCCCGAGATGATTGTCGATCTGCCTGCGAGCCTGCCGCCAGCGCAGCTGCTGCAGGCGCAGACGCTGCTCAGGGATCTGGACGTCGAGTTCGGCGAGTGGCAGAGCCCGGTCGAAAAGGTCGTCAAGTGGCGGCGCAAGGTCAAGAGCCGATACAACGACGACCTCGGTCTCTGGGAGCCGATGCCGCTGCGCATCCAGGACGAGTCGTACGCCATGGCCGTCATGACCGCCGACGAGTTCGTTGCGCTGGCTTTCGGGGCCGAAGGCGCGGATCTGCTAGCCCATGTGTCGAGAATGAAGCAGCACTTTCCCGGCACGCAGCTGATCTACCTCATGGAAGGTCTCGGCCCCTGGATCCGCAAGAACCGCAACGTCCGAAACCGGCAGTTCGTCTCCGCCGTGCGCAGCCAGGAGACGGAGGCGGCGCCGACCAGCAGCCAGCCGAACCGGCGGCGCAAGAAGGCGCAGGCGCCCAGGGAGTACATTGACGAGGACACGGTCGAGGACGCGCTGCTCGAGCTTCAGGTCCTGCACGGCGCCCTCATCCACCACACGGCCGCCGCCGTCGAGACGGCCCAGTGGATCGCCATCTTCACGCAGCACATCTCCACCGTGCCGTATCGCAAGCAGCGTGAGGCTGCCAACGAGGCGGGCGCCGGCTTCTGCATGGAGAGCGGACAGGTGCGGACGGGCGACGACACGCGGGACACATACGCGCGGATGCTGCAGGAGATCGTGCGCGTCACGGCGCCCGTCGCCTACGGCGTCGCTGAGGAGTTTGGGACCGTCGCGGCGCTGGTCAAGGGGTTGGAGGAGAGGGGCCCGCTCGCGCTCGAGGCGTGCCGGAAGAGCGCGAACAAGGATGGTGCCGTGTCGGATCGGACGATCGGCCAAGCTCTCAGCCGGCGGATCTACAAGGTGTTTACTGGCAAGGATGAGACGAGTATGGACGTCTAGGGAAGGGCATGCATGCTTAGGCGCGATGGTAGATTTGGCTCGGCGTTCGAGGTGTGAATTTAATCCAGGCGGGATGGAGTTTCTGCGGCTGTTGGACGGAGCTCGTCACAACGTATTCTTGTGATAATCGTCAGAAAACATGGACTGGTATGCACAAATGAGTTACGAGGCAACGCAATACCAGGTTATGAGTGGGCGGGTCGCCTATGGGCACAAGTAACCCTCTGTACGGCAATGCAATCACAGTTTCAAACATCATTTCACAACAAGCAACAAAAGTTCAGGCGGTGGCATCATGCATCATGAGAAAACTTTGCATTCATGTCTACCGAAACTCTATCCATTCGAAGCCGAAGCGACGTGGCACGTATCGCCCGGAACGTGTACATAGGGTCTAGACTTCAAATATGTTAGCACTCGTTCGAAAACAAGCATCATGAAATAACAGGTTGAAAAGCTTTGTCAGATAGCGGTTGGACAAGTTTTTTCCACATTCAATGTGTCGGATCAGGTCTGTGAAATTTGGTCTCTCATCACGAAAGCAGGCGGGTGAGTGTAAAGAAAAAGAGGCGAGAGCTTACCATTTGACAAAATCGACATCATGCTCTGAGGGGGTGCCAAGACGGTCAGCCTCCGATCTGGCTATTTGTCAAGCTGATCTTCAGCCTTCCGCTTCTTCGGCGGAGGGGCCGCAGCAAAGAACGAAGTGAGAGTTTTCTGCTTCTGATCGAACTGAGCGCTGCCTATACCGCCGCGGGTCTTTTTCAGACCGGCGAGGTGAGTCGTGTTGTTGAAGACCACGATGCTCAGGCGCAGGTCGGGCCAGCGTGGGCCATGATTGCTCGGCGGACAGGGCGGTTCGCCTGCGTCCTGTCGAGGCTGACTCGATGAGTGGTGGGAGGGCTCGACGACGAGCTGAGTGTAGCCCGTATTGCTCCAAGAAGCATGAGAGTCGGCTGGTTCGGAAGAAGAAGCGAACCAGGCATTGCTGCGCAGGACGCGAAGCAGCGATGCCAGGATCAGCCCGTGGGCGACGATCATGACGCATGAAGACTTATCAGCCAACGCGGCAACGATCGGTGCGAGCTGGCTATCGACGAAGCGACTAGCACGTGTATGCATGGCATCGTGGGTCTCAGCGTCTGTCGCACGAACATGGTCGCGCTGGCCGTACTTCTTGCCTTCGTCGGCGCCAAAGTCTTTCTCGCGCAGGTCCAAGAGCTGGACGACATCGACCGCCGGCATTCCGGCCAGCGGCGGAGGCTGCGCTTCTCGGACCGTTGCAGCGGTGTGGACAGCACGCTTCAGGTTGGAGGTGAAGATGTGCGTCGCTGGAGGTGCCGCCGTCGCCATGTGAGAGGCAAGACGACGGGCTTGGAGGACGCCGTGAGCGGTCAATGGGGAGTCCCGACTTCCTGCACTGGAATTGGTCAGTTTAGGGTAACAGAGAGAGCGTGAAAAGGAATTGATTACGCACTAGAGGCCGGCCACATTGTCTACCGATTCGCCGTGGCGGATGAGGAAGATATTGACCTTGCCCATCGAGGCATTGGTGGTGTATGTGAGAGACTGAAGCTGGAGCTTGGTAGCCGCAGCATTCCCTGGTGGCGACTACATGGTGTGACCACGGAGCTCAATCGAGGAGCTTAGGACTGGTGTCGCGTTCACTTGCAGAACGTGGTCGGAAGGAATTGAGGGGGGAGGCAAATTTTCCTTTTAAGAGCTGGTGGGCTCCTGGCTGGGTCCACATGTCACGCTCGTTAGTCAGCTTCATGGAACTGGGCCATGCAGCTCGCGATTTGTAGAAGCCGCCAGAGTTGCTGCCTGAGAAACCACAGAGAGCAAGTAACAGAAGCGCACGAGAGATGTTTTTCATTCTAGGGTCTTTCTTTCAAGAACCAAAAACGATGCCTGCCTTTAACTGAAAACACCATTTAGGGACTGTAAAGGGATGTGACCGCCAGAATGCACCGCTGAGCCAGGGGTTTTTCGACGCATCCTCTCATAGCCGTGCGATGCGTCTCTGGCTCACCTTCATTCACCAACCGTAGCCTCAAAATTTGTGCCTAGCACTGAGCGTCCCAGCCTCTCCAGTGATTGCAAGCAATGCGGCCATCGTCGTTGAACAAGATGTCCTCTGTAAGGTAGGCAGTCAGAGCCAGCATGCGAACAAGGCGAAGTGAGCATCACCAACATACCGAGATTGACATCGACGTCCCAAGCTTGAGCAAAGATATACGGGCAAATAAGCTTGTTCTCGATGTAGTCACTCTTTTGCGTCTTCTTGAGAATGCAGGCGCCACAACGTAGGTTGAAGTAACCGCTGCACATCAAGCATTGATCAGCTAACCACTAGTGATCAAGTGCTCACATGAACAGATGCTCTTACCCTTCCTCTGCTACGAGGCTGACCTTGTTGGCTTCTCGGTCGACTTCAAGGCCGATGCAGTCATTGAGGTTGATGCGCGTGCAGCGGTACGTCTTGCCATCGTTTCTGAGACATTTGGCGTGAAGGACAGTCTCGGACTTTTTGAACAGCTGGAAGCTTTGCCATTCGGGGTGCCATTGGTCCCGGCCGTTCGAGGTCAGAAGCAGGTCCTTGCATTCGTACTTAATGTCGTCGCCAGACGCGCCAGACGACTCAAGACCAAGAATGAGGCCTGCAACAAGAGTGATGGAAGTGAGCTTCATCTCGAAAGTGGGTGTTGCCGCGCTGTCAGTGGGTGTGTCGTTGGGGGTGTGTTACGGGTGTAATGCCAGAGAATTCTGAAGATGTAGAAAATTCGGCCGCATGGAAAGTGGTGCTTCTTGTGGCTTTCCTTGCCATCGCTCTTTCCTTCAATTGAAGATGTGAACGTCGAGGGAACTTTAGTGAATGTCAAACACCAGAATTGGGCTCATTCACCTTGTTTGATGTTGTGACTGCTAGCTTTGTTCAGCTCGAGTTGCCCTCACTTGCGTTATTGCCTGTCGCACTTCTGGCTCTTTCAGCTCGATCGAGGCACTGAGTTCTCATTGAAAAGGGTTCAAAGTCGCTGTAGAAGACCAAAACCGCTCTCTGCAGGATACGGTCAACGTTACGCGGCTTGGGAGTGACAACCTAACGCACGCGTCTTGTATTGCCTGTCCTTATGGTCCTCGGGAGAACGTCCAATGCGGTCCTAAGCCTCACTACCGAATTGCACTTGTAGTAGAGCAAAGACTACGAGCTGAGAAGTGTGCTGTTTCATGGCATCTGCGGCACCTAATTATTTATTCATGGCTCCATCAGCCTAGGCGAGTGGCCAGTTTGATTCATGGATGCGCCTTGGGCGTTGGTACATGATGTCAGCGGATCGCAAGCATGGCAGTATGAACGGACCAGAAGTTTGGCTTGCGACATCCTCCATTTCCACAACGATGAGCATACATCAAGAAAATACACAGTCGAATGCTAGAGAGAGGCAACATGAGGTTCAATGTATACCCCCATAGTCAAAGAATGCTATCTTGGCTTGGTATACTCTAGATCGGCGCAGGGAAGCGACCACACACATCGCGCATCAAGCAAAAGTCCTGCGTTTGAGAACACTCCATCTGCCGATGAATGGCTCATCTGGACTGATGCAGCGCAACAGTCTTCACATGGTCAATCAGTCATTTGGCTACCTCATGTCAAGGCCGGTGGTCAACTGGGGAGTGCATCTTGCGCATACAACAGGAAACAAAGGGAAAGGGTCGGCAGGCCAGAGGAGAAATCTATAAAATGCGCGTGGTATTGGTTTTTCTCTCGTTTGTCGGCGATATTTGCCGGACTAACGTCGGTTGTCTCCACGAAGAACTGGTCAGGGCCTACTCGGAGGATGTTGCAGTGCACGCCGTCAGTTCCGCATCCGCTGTCCTCGAAAGGAAAGGAATTCTGTGATGCTTAATCGGACAGGGGCATCAGTACGCCCGCAAGAGTTCAACGTGAAGGTATACCGAAAGGCTCAACCTCTTGTTGCGCAATGGGGGTCTATATGTAGCCAAAGACACGGTATAAATGCGATGCTGCAGCACGACTCTGCCTCCATCGAATAGATACTATTGAGGATCGTGTCAAGGTTGTTCTGTATTAATTCGTGTGTCGAGCGTTTCCGGTATTGGAGACGTGACGCTCATCGTTGACGGGAGCAAGAGAAGCAGACACGGTGCCGTGCTTTGAGAGCCATATTGTCAGACCTAGGGTGAAATGGGTGCTATGATATCGGTCAAGGTGCTGTTAGTACTGAAGTTCTTGGGGGAAGTCTTGCCAGCTGTCACGGGCTTTTTTTTCTCCGGCCCAACATGTGAGTATGTGTGTTCTGAAACAAAACCTTGAGATGAAGAATTTTTGCGATCCGATGTGATCAGCCTGTGACTGCGGCGAGTGATATCACGGTGTAATCGGGGTTTTCTCGTCTTGATTCTGTCCCACATGAAGGCATTCGTGGTAAATCTTGTCGAGGAATGTCGTTCTCAAAAACGCAATGAAGTCTTTGGAGAACGTCATTCGGACCAACTACCGCGTTCAGAGTTACTGTACCATGTAATCAATGAAATTCCTGCACCTCATTTCAGGCTTCGGGTCATTAGCACGCGGAAGGAGTTTCGACAGGCATTTCTCTGTCAGAGTCGCATGGCGTTATCTGTCAGAACCGCGGAGATGCCGTGCGTCTTGGTGCAAACAAACTTTGAAGGCAAGCAGTAAAAGTTTGATCCTTCCAAGGCCGTGTCATAATTCATCTTGGCATGCCCACCAAGGGCATGACGCCTTAAGAGTCTACTCACGAGAATCGCCCCAATGGCCGCATTCCAGCTTGGCGGCGTGATATTTCGCTGATCCAACCTACGATCACTGACTACGGAGTTAGCGATCATGAAGTCTACATCCGAGGATATCAAGCTCATCCAGATTTTTCTTCGCACTCCCTCTTCCCTTTCTCTCGTCAAGGCCAAAGCCGGGACCGGAAATGCAAGTGTCGGGTCTAGTTGGCACCCTTTGATCAACACCCCAGTCGCGTTCGTGGGCTGGACGAGCACGCCATAGGCAATCTCAGCCCACACCCACGCCCGACTCATTCCTCTTACGTGGGTGCTTCGCAGCCTTCCATGCACAACCCGCGTCTCTTGGGATCGCGACCGGCTGTTCGGCATCTTCAGGTCTCAGCCCAAGAAAGAATTGATGCGAGGTTGCGTCCCAGAACGGCACCCACGAGGCTCGGTTGGGCGGTCGAGGCCCGCGCGGCGACGGCGCCAGCGAACCACGGGTGATCTCCGATGCGGGTGCGATGTCGTCTCAATCTTTATCTTGCTTTTCTCTCTCTTTTCAGACTGCCGTTCGATGGCTTGTTCAGCGGGCCGCGACTGCAAGATGCGAATCGTGAGGCTCCCGGCCGAGATTTTGTGATGGTGACAGACTTGCTTCTGCCGTCTCTTCCCCGGCTTTCATTCCCCTGGCGTCTGGGGAAGAAGCAGAGAAACAGGACAGCCAAGGCTTCTAAACTGTCCGAAAAACTGAGCCTCCCGGCTTGGAAAGTCCTATCGAGAGGGCAGAAACAAGACAGTATTGCTTGGCAAACAGCGTGACGCCGCCACAATGTCTTGGCCCGACTGGCGTGGTGGTCCACCCCGTCCGCCTGAAGTTTCCAGCCGCAATACTGCAAGGGGGCGTGGGATATTCACAATTGGCTTCCCAGAGAAGAAAGCAAGCGCCCATGCCATGTCAATACATTCCTCCTTGCCGAGATTCCAAACCCACGGTCCTGCCACGCCTTGCATGTGCAATCTGGAAACCAAAGTCACGTCTACCAACCTCTAGGACCCTCGATGCCAGCTCTGAAGACGACGTGGGCGGCCAATGGGAGAGAGACAAGCAGCACCAACTGATAATCATGAGTCACGCGACAGGTTCCTATGCCGGCACAGCTCAGCTTCGGCAACTCCCATTCGTCCAGGGAGTCGTCAGGACAGACAGGGAGTTGGCCTGGAGGCTCTGGAACCAGGCGACCATGGTGTGTCTGGACCCCTCCCGGCGGGAGGCGATCAAGCGATATCAAATTCGTCCCCGTCTCACGGCGCCGGCCATGGCGAGGGTGCGCTCGATATCATGAAGAGTTCAGGGGGTGGCCATGGCGAAAGTGACGTGGCTGTTGACACCATACGAAGGCGTCGCAGCGGCTGATAAAAAATCACGAAGTTCTTGATGTTCGTCTACTTTCTCATCGATACGATCGCGTTCTCGACCCCCACCCCATGGGAGCACAGCAGCGCAAGGGATTGAGCTGAGAGGGGGAGAGGTTCGAGACCTGGAAGTAGCTCGAGCTGTCAGACTGGTAAGATGGACTGGAGTGCCTTGGCCGCGCATATTTGCGTACTAGCCATCGGGGCGCCGATTCCGCACTCCCTCTCATGGTATGGTGCTGCTGCCTCCCCCAACCTCCAAACCCCCGTCTAGATAGGGGACTAAGTTTCTGGCTCGGGGCTCACGGAAGTTCACTGGGCAGACAGAGGCGACCCATAGGGAGGTGGGGTTAGCACTTTGGCAACCAGGGGCCGTGCATGCTGTATAAAACCGAGAACAACTTTGTTTGCCGGGGTTTGCGCTGATCGCTCGTCTCTGGCAAGTGTGTGGAGGGGCGCGACATCATGATGGAGACGGTCATCTCGGCGCCCAGGGTTGATGGTGGGTGTGCCATGGTGTCAGAACGGCAATCTCTGCAAAAAGAGATCCATCATGATGCTCTCCTGCAGTCATGACGCTTGGGCGATGCTCATCACAAGAGCTGGAACCGTACAGATAGATGGGATGGTGGTGTCCATCACGATCTGTTGCACCACCTGCACGCCACAGTGAACCGCCCAACTCTGAAGGCCTGTCTCTCCCACACTGTGACTCTGTTCCTCTCGGTCTTCTGTTGTGTCTGTTTCGTTGGGTGGCGTGGGGAAAATCGGCTGGTAATAGTTGTCGTCGACCAGTAGAAGCTCAAGAAGCTCTTGGTCTACTTGTGAGTGTGAGAGCTGAGGGGCTTCTCCCAAAGCGGGCAGGACAGCCGCCCTTTCTGGGCCGGTCCACCCATGCTGCTCTGAGGTGTGTTGGGGGCGTGTGAGGAGCATGAGCTGTGTGATCAGAGGGGGTGTGGCCTAGGTGGCAGACAAGGATGCTGGCTTGGGGATTGGGGTAAGCTTCCATTAGGCGACAAAACCTGCAGATGAACAGGGGAGCTATGCGGCTCCTGGCTCGGTGGATGTGGTCTCATCCACGCCAAGAATGACGTGCTCGGGAAGGTCCATCTTTTTCGCTTCTCGAGTCGGCGCCGGTCTTCAATGAGTTCGACTGGCCTCAATCCCCCCTCGTGCTCTCTGCCTCTCTCTCTTTCTCTCTGAGGGGCAAGTATTGTATAATGTACCTGTTCTTTTGTCGACAATCATCGCGAGGTTGAGAAAGAAGGAAGGGTTGGTTGTTGCGACAAGCGAAGGGAGCGGCATCTTGGCATCAGAGACATTGGCGCCCTTCTTTATGCATCGTGATAGCTTCAAAACCTCGACCTCAGACAACCAGGCTGTCGACCGGTGAGACCGATGGACAGCGGTGTGTCTCTCGTGCTTTGCCGGCCACTTCTTCCACTAAAACTAAACTGATGGAGGTCCCCGAAGACGGCTGCTCCAGCACGTCCTCGACCCCTCCCCCCCTC